GTAGAGCAAGAGTTCCTCAAGCTTTGTGAAGGTCTTTCAAGGATTTTCTTTGGATATTGGATATTGACTAAATTTTCCCATTTTCAATACAGTCCTTGTACCTAGCAATTATGAATGGAATGCTTTTGCTTGTTTGTTAAGCCACTTAACACTGGCCTATGACTCAATCAAGCATAAAAAGGCACCTAACTCAATGAATGAGCTAGTGTCATATCTACACATAACAGACAAGTTAGCCAAGAACCAATTTTAAATTATATATTTAGGCACGTTTGTTACCAGCAGCACATCGCAAAATTATATAATTCCTTCTGAAATTAAATCAATGAAAAGTCCAAAAATAACACAGTTTCACAGGCATAAAATAGTTAATACAAGTTTTAGATACTTTATTTATAACTAGCTATAGTTCTAAATTGCTATAGTTATAAATTGTTATAGATATAGATTCCCAAAGAGCTACTAGTTGAAAACTCAGCATTTCTTAACATGTTGTACAGAGTTTACTTAAAATTTTGCAGAAATTTGACAAGTGGAGAAAAAAGAAAATGTGTCAGGACTAAAGAAAACCATCAATAGGATGTCTGTTAAGGTTCTCAGTCATCCAGGTCATCGGCAGTCCATCTGCATCTAAAGTACAAAGGTCACTCCATCGAGGACACCAATGTTCACATTTTGGACAGAGAAGACAGATGTTTGGCTGATTGTGGCCTACACCCATTTTCACATCTTGGCTCGTGTGATTAGGTAGAAGATCATTAGGGGGTCCATTGTCCCTCTTGGGGGACTCCCATAGGGCTTAAATCTGGGACTCTCCATCATTTGACCTTAGAACTGAAGAAGCTTCTCAGATGAGAGGTGAAACGTTTTCAAGCAACTTAAAGAAGTCGAGACGCTTTTCTTTCCAAGCTCCTTAGACCATCAATAAGATATGAGTAGTATCTGACCTGTCATGTTCTTGAGAAATAGGAAAAATAATCAAGCAAACACCTGACACTGGTCCTTAAGTTGATCCATGTACTATTCAGTGAATCTTGAAATGGTCTCAGTAGAAGGGTGGCTTTAAATGAGTTAATCTTAAGGAAGGAAAACAGGGAAGTATGCCAAACTACTCCAGAAAATCAGTGGCAAAACCAAATTTAAACTTTTTAGTTCAAATCATCATCAGTACATACAAAGGATGTCAGAAGAGAAGTACAACAGTGAGTACTGTGAGTGTCTACAGGTATCTGTAGAACACGCTGGACACTCTGTCATGTTTTGGGGCTGCATTTCAGCCTCTGGCACATAGAAATCTACCATCAGATTTTCCACCAAGCAATACCAACTCGAAAATGGCTGATTGGCAACAGCTTCATTTTCAGAATGAAAAGGATCTCAAATATACTGCCTAAAGCATACCTGGATAGAAAAACACAGTGGAAGACTGTTAGTCATAGATTGGTCACTTGAGAATCTAGTATTTACCATTACTGAAACAGTGTGTGATCATCTTGGGATAAAATGGAATAAAAGGCAACCAACATCCAAAGAAGAGGCTGAACGTCCTTCAGAAAGACTGGAAAACTATTGCTGAAGACTACTTAAAGAAATTACAAGAAAACCTGCCTAATAGATTTCAAGCTGTGTTGGTGAATAAAGGTGGTCATACCAAAGACTGACTTCCATGCTTGTCAGAATTATACAAACACTATTTTTGCGTTCTACATTGCATTTCCGTGTAGTTTTGCACCAGCTTCAGTAAACAGCTGAACATATCTCACATTTTCATAGCAAAATATAAAGAAATGAGGGGTGGCTCAATATTTGTTCACAGTATTGTACTAACATGTTACTCCATTCTATGCAAAGCTCTTCGGAGTTCTTGAATCGATTTGTCTTAACAGTCCTCTCAAGGCTGCACTTATCCATGTTGCTTGTGCACCTCTTCCTACCACACTTTTTCCTTCCAGTCAAATTTCCATGAATATTCTATGATACATCACTCTGCAAACAGGCAGCCGTTTCAGCAATGATCTTCTGTGGCTTACCCTCCTTGTAGAGGGTGTCGAAGATCACCACCTGAACAGCAGTCAAGTCAGCAGTCTTCCCCGTGACTGAGGTTGCGTGCACTGAATTAGACTGAGGCATGCACGGTATTTATACTGTTTGAGTAGTAGTTTTAATCTCAAACTGCAATATTTGAGACACTGATTTTTGTATTTTTGTGAGCTATGAGCTGTGATTGTCAAAATTAAAACAAAAAGGCTTGAAATATTTAAATGTGCATTAAATATTACCTTTTTAAATTAAATGACAAAAAGGATGCATTTTTGTATGATATTCTGAACTTTTAAGATGCATTGATAGATGCAAATGAATAACCATTCAACTCCTGGCCATTTGTCTTCATTGTCTCATGATATCAATTAAAACTACACTGCATTAACATTTGTAATTACATATGTATTAATTCTGTAAGTGTAGTGTATAGCAAAAGTGTCCAACCAAAGAAAACTGCTTACAATTTGTAGTATCAAATAAAAGAACATTTGCATTGAAGCAAAGTTATGAGAAAGCATAAAATAGATCACATAAAGACTAAATTAAACCACTACTTACATTAGAGTCTGGAGGGCTGAAGCCACACAAGCTGCACACATCCATTTTACACTGTGTACAGGTTTTATGGTTAGCTGGTTCTTTTGTAAGTTGTGTTGTTTTACACACTGGGCAAAGCTTTGCTACTGCTGTTGACTGAGATCTTGCTTTGGCTGTTCCAGGTGACGAAGTCCCTGCTTGTGTCATGCCAGTTGGACCAGGTCCCTTACTCCCTTGCTTATCAGAGGACTGCTGTTGGGATGTGGCCCTGATGCCTTTCTGCTCTGGTCCTGCCTTAGACGAGTCATGCTGTTGCTGCCCAATTTTTGGTGATGCCTGCTGTTGTTTTCCAACCTCAGACCCAACCTTTGTTGACCCTTGTGCACCAGTCTTAGTAGGGTTTTGTTGCTGCATCCTTGTCTGTTGTTGAGCTCCAGGTTTAGGAGAACTTTGCTGTATAGGTTGGTTTTTGGGGGGTTCTCCTTTAGGCTGGACTTCAGGTTGAGCCCCTGTCTTTGAAGTTGTTTGTTGCCCAGCAGGTTTGTTTGAGGGGCCAGTTTGTCCATTTCCATGTAGCTGTGGTGAACCTTGCTTGGGAGGTTGTTGGGTCTTTTGCATAGGGGGGGATTGGCCTGGTTTATGGGGATGCGGTTGCTGTTGATGGTCTTTTCCAGGGCCTGCTGTTGGCTTCTGTTCTCCAGATTGCTTTTGCCCCTGCTGGGGAGGTGATTTTTTATCCCCCTCACTATCATCTCCAAACAAACCAAACTTATTTACAGCAGAGGACACGGCATTGAGGGGGTTTGCCCCACTAAGGAATTTGGAGGAGAACATTGTTGGGTCTTCCTCGTCCTCCCCCTCTTCCTCCTTGCAGGAGCTGGAATCTACAGGACTGTCAGAGTCAGAGCAGGAACTGTCTCCACTTTGACCCGGCTCTCCCACAGGTGCCTGAGGGGGGGCTGGACCTGTGGAGAGGGCATCTACAGCCCCACTCCTGCTGCTGCTGCTACTGCTGCTGCTCCCTGGGCTCTCCTCTGGCTCAGCATCTACGTCAGACTTCCTACATACATGACAGACAAAGAGAGGATGTGTGAGGTGACAGAAACAAGGGAGGGATAATGAAAGAGAGTATGAACATTTGCGGACCACTAGTATGTAGAAGAAGGGATAACGTAGTTTCACCCTTCCACTCACCATTAACATGAAGTTGGCTTAATCTAATAATTCAACTATGAAGACCATCAATGCATTACACAATATGTAGTTAACTCGATTTAGACAAGTGTATCCTTATCTGAACCTATTAACTGCATGGTTTTCAATAGAGAAATTTTAATATAAATATTCTGTAAGAATCTGTGTATTAGACACACCGGTGTTTGATAAATTATATTTATTTCCATTCTGGTTAGAACTATTATTATTTGACATTAAAGCCATTAAAGATTCATTCTCTTTGATTTACTCCACACCGACTGTTGCTTTCAGTACCATGGACGAGACCAGAACTGCTCTGCTGCTTGCAGCCTATACAAATCAGAGAGATCCTTTTCAGCTAGTTAAAGCCTACGATACAACCTAATGTGCAATACAGCAGGGGGATGTCGCTCTCAATTGACCGGGCTACTACAAATCCTATTCAAATGACTATTGAAGGTGGACTCGCGGGTCCAGAACACCATTTTTTTCACGGTGACAGAATTCGATTTTCATTATCCGAATGGCACCGATTGTCACGGAGTGAAAAATGTCACGCAAGACGTGTTTTACAGCAGCCAGACGAGTAAACACAGGCAATCTAGCGCTTTCACTGGAGAAACTGCAGGCACATCCGGGTAGCGGCCCAGCAAATAATGCATGGGAAGTAAATACTGATAGTTTCTTGGACAAAAGCAACATCAAGGGCAATACAAGTCTGTGATGACCAATTATCTTTCTAAATAGGCAATTACAGCTGCGTTCGGCGTTTACTACGCAATGCTCACTTGCAGCTCAGGTTCACTCATACGCGGTGGATCTGACGTATCCACGGCGCTTTACCGATATGAAAAGGCATCATGCATAACCACCAACCATTCTAAACCGGACAACATCTTAGTCCGCAGAGGGTACGAGGTGATAACAGCCCAAGCCCACGGGTGAGCGAAAAAATGGAAAACACATTCTCACCTTTTTCTTGTGTCCTTGACCAGGTATCGTAACGAATATTTTTATACTTAATGTGTAGTATACTGTTCTAGATTATTGTAAACCAGCGTAAAACTGTGACGAAACCCAGTAACAGCCCTGTCATCCCTGTGATTTCCCGAAATACCATCTGTTATCCACTCTGCGCCCTCCGCTCACCTCCTCCCATCCTGCATGCAACCAGGCATCCTTCACCCTCCACGGTCACAATGTCAAACACTGAAGCGCAGAATTCAAGAGAAACCGAAGAGAAACAGTACCTTCATCAACAGCTGATCTGTCTCCCCATCCTGCCCAGCCTTCCTGAGATATCCCCTGTCCGTGTCTGTCTGATCGCCGGGGGATAGAGAGCACAGGGCAGCGGATAGAGAGCGATCAGCATCCACTCCGCCTCCCACTTTTGCGCGCATGCGCCACATCTGACAGGTGATCACAATATATATCACGCACGGAAATTGAAATTAAAGGGGACAAGCGATTTATTTCCCCTGGAGTCACGTGTGATCAGACCTGAAAATTTACCCTTATGCTGAACGTCTTCTCAGTGGCCGCTGACAGATTTGATATGTCACAGCTGTGATCGTGAGTTGCAGTATAGCTGGATACTACTACTACTAATAATAATAAAAAAGCAGCTCTGGATAATTTCACATCACTTTAAATGTTATACCCGACTAATTGCATTTTCTAGACAAATGACGCTCCCTTGCCACGTTCACTTATTTCTCTTGTTCCTGAAAGCACAGTGGATTTACATCAACACTGAGCACAAGGAAGGCAAATAATGCCTCATCTGCTTTATGTGTGTGCTAGGTCCTCTTTTGGATTTGCAGTGTGAGCATGCCCGAGCACGATTAAGAAAGTGAGCAAGCTATGACCCTCTGTTGTCTGAAAGACAGAATGAGAGCACTTTCCCCTGCTTATATATTGTAACGTTCAGCTTTAGGCTCTGTCTTAGAAGAAATTAGTTCATCTGACCTGCCTCTAAGTTTCCTTCTTATAGTGCTCTCTGTCAATTTAGTTAAGGTAAATGTTCCAACCAGCCTTGGTTCCGGATCTCTTCCACAATGGGCTAGATATAATCCACACAGCCTCCATTATAGAGGATCAGTTCATTTAGTTTCATTAACAAATAAACATGCTTAGTGAAGCAAAACACATGAGCAACTCTGTGCACAAGCAGCTCTTGTTGTTTTATTTAGCTCATACAAAGGAAATTCACACCAACTGCCACTGTATATCAGTTCTTCCATGGTTCAGACCTGATCAGATCAGATCTCGTTTTTTCCCCTTGGACTAACTTTCTTATCTCTGTCACAAAAGAGCAGAGCAGATGTGAGGAGAAGAGAAAATTTGGACAATCATATCTGGTCCTGCTTTGGAAAACTTTTCCAGTTCAAGGAGGTTGCATATCATTATCACAGCTTTTGGCAGCTCTGCAGAATTTATAATTGTATTCGAAACAGATAACCATGTAAATGCAAAAATGCGTATACTATTAAAATATTCAAATATGTAGTTTTCTTCCTGGTGAACTGATGATATGGAATATATCACAAAGTTTAGCAAAACCTTTGCTCTATTATTTATCACTTCTGTAGCATCCTGCTACCATAAAAGAGGAAATTCACCCTCAGCGATTTCTCACCATCACAGTTCATCATTTTTGAGCATTAATATAGCTCCACCATGGCATGCATGTTTACTCAGTCGTACAGTCAATAATTTCCTACTCAGTGTCTGGTAAGCCTGAGGAAGCTCTGTGGGAAGGATAGAGAGCAAGTGTTGTGTGGGCGTGTGGAAGAGTTACGTCATGTGTGATGTGTGAGCAGCAGAATCGCTATGATCTCTCTTTGGAAAGCGCCAAATCTGGCTTCACTGCAGACATGCACACATACACAAACAGATACGCACACAGGAAACATGTAGCACAATCTCCATCTGGGGATATAGGCTGTAACTTTTCCGTGTCCTCCTACCTGGGCTGAAAATTAAGTAATCTCAAAACTGCTTATCTCTACCTCATCCTCACAATCTGGCGCTTCCTTCTGTTTCCTCTTTTTGTTTTTGTAAAGTTTTAGAACAGAAAAAGAGTAGAGCTAAAATTATGTTAATGCACAATAATACCTTTATGTGCCATTAGGTAATGTCTTAGGTCATTGTTGTATCGTGAGCTTTAGGTTTCACATTTTCTTCTGACAATGATTACGAGATAAATAATATGATTAGCCTTGATATTTAAAACACATTACAGTAAACAGGCTGTCTATAATTTAGTGTTTATCATTAAACAGTTTACACTCTTCCTCACAACAGATTTGTTTGTCAGTCAATATTATGTAAGACAGCAGGAAATCACCAGATGTGTTCTTTTCTTTTGATCCCTCCCTACTTGTCAGTTTAAATACAATAACCAAAGTCTCCACTGTCACCATCCTTTTTTCCCCCACATACTCTTTGATAAGGGCAGACCAGACTTTGCTCTCACACAACTAAGACATCGCAGATTTTTAACTGCATCACTCACATGTTTACCAGCTGACCTCAAAGTGAATTAGAGTCTGTCACGTGTATCCAGGACCGAAACAAAAACCAAGTTGCTGATGGGAAGCTTTGAAAGTTCACTTCTTATCAGTGGCTTCACATGTATAGAAAGTACAACCCCAATTACTAACACGTTGGGACATAAAATTGAAATAAAAAACACAATGCAATGATTTGCAAATCTCATAAACCTATGTTTTATTTGCAGCAGAATGTAGAAAGCACATCTAATGTTTAAGCTGAGAAAATGTAACATTTTAAGAAAAAATAAGGTGACTTTAATGATGATATGTTGATGACAACACAGCTTAAAAACGTTGAAAATGCATGTTTACCACTGTAACATCTATCTTAACAACAATCCTGGGAAACATCTGGGAACTGAGGAGACCAATTCCAGGACTGTCCCATTCCCAGACTGACCCAGTCCTGGGTCTTTTTTTTTAATCGGTTCAGCACTGAGATTCTTGTAGCACAAACCACACTGTTACAATAGTTGGCAGTAAGCAGTTTACCATTGTCTTGTTGAAATACACAAGGCTTTCACTGAAAAAAGATTCTGCCTGCATGGGAGCACATGTTGATTTAAAACCTGTATATACCTTTCAGCTTTGCTGCTGCCTTTCCAGCTGTGCAAGCTGCCGATTTAATAGGCATTAAGTCACTCCCACATCATCAGAGACGCAGGCTTTTGAATGAGCACTGATAACAAGTCAGATGGTCCCTCTCCTCTTTAGTCCAAAGGATGCAACATCCATGTTTTCCAAAATGAAAATTAGTCTGACCAAAGAAACAGTTCCACTGTTTTCAATCTTAAATGAACTTTTGACCAGAAAACAGAGCCATGTTTCTGAATCTTGTTCACATATTGGTTCTTCTTTGCATGATAGAGCTTTAACCGTTGTTTGTGGATGCCATGGTGAACTGTGTTCACAGACACACAAGTGTTCTTAGGCCCAAGCCCGTTTCCATGACAGAATCATGCCTGGTTTTAATGCAGCGCTGCCAAAGATCACAGGCATTCAATACCGATTTCTCCAATTTGTCATTTGATGATGTACTGTAGATGACAAGAAGATAATTTTATGTTGAGGAACATTATGCTGAAATTGTTCCACAATTTGTAGATGTAGCTTTTTGTCCATTTTTACAAACCTCTTATGCGGTTTTTATATCCAGCCATGTTACTGATCTGTAGCCAATTAACCTATTTGGGATGTTTTGTTTTGTTTTTTTGCTAAATGTTCCTCCAGGTGTTTTTTTGTTTTTTTTGGTACCTCTTACTTTTCCAGATTTTAGTTTTCCCATGTTGATGCCATCACATTCAAAATGAGGTGATAGGTTTTTTTGTGAAATATGAAGATTTCTTAGTTTAAACATTTGATATGTTTTCTATTTTGTATTGTGAATAAAATATGTTTTATATGGGAGTTTGAACTTCAGACCTGCTTGCACGGAGACAGAAGAGCTTCTTGCTACTTTGCTTATCTGTTACTAGCCCAGTAATAAAAACCATAAATGTGTCTTTTAGATGAATTTTAAATAAGAAAATAAACATGATGGTGTGACTAAGAAGAGTTGGCCAAACACATCTGTAGTTCTCTCTCATGTAGTAACGCTCTTGTATTCTACACTTGTATTCTTCTCTCCACAGTTGATACCAACACCCACACACCCGTCCCTATTTCTCTCTCACTGTTTCTCTATCAGGCTGTGTACACAAACAAACTCAAACAGATTTGAGAGGCAGTACTTATCTCTCTCTCATTTTAATTAAGCAGACACTGTGGAGCATTATGCTGCCTAGCAGTTTCTAACTCCCCTAGCTGCAATTCTCACATATGAGACTGCTACTTCCGCAACAAGAACAACAGCCAAACATTCACTTTTTTCGATAATGTTGGAATAAGTTTACAAAAACACACACCTCTGACGTTGACCCTTGAGGAATTCAAAGCAGTTTTTTCCCGGCATGGTTTTCTCGGGAGCAGAGCCGGAGCAAGGTGGAGTGGTAACCTGCATCGAGGTGTATTGCTGTCCTCTGTAGGTCTCTAGGTCTCTGTGCCTGAGTATCTGGCAGGGTCACAATGTAATCTATACAGTAACCTGATCACACACACTTTGCCAGCATCATTAAATTTACATATCTGCCCCTGGGAGGGGAAAATATGGACTTGCAATAATACTCTCTGAACAGAACCGAAACACATGTGGAAAGAGCAAAAATCACTAATATAATATTAACAGAAGATGAAGGTGTTTACAGGTTCTGTATTTCAGGAATCTAGTTCTATGTGTAATTTGATCTAATGTAGGCCATTATTCATTGCAACATGTTATTAATTGGCAGAATATAGATCCTTACATCCTTGAAGGGACTGGCTCAACAGTGGACAGGAAAAATACACAAAAATTGCACACTCTTTGTCAGAGTTGTTTTTCCTGTTGAATGCATTGTTTACAGTTGGACTCAAGTACAAACTGTGTCACACATAAAATATGTTGCAAACAATGCAACTGACTGACCGTTAACTTGATTGTGTTCGAATGTACATGAGACACAGGTAGAGTTACCAAGCACTGGCAGTCTGATGTGTGTCACTTGGGAGAATGGTTTATGCTTTGTGGCTTCCTCACTCAGCATTGTGCTAGAACACTGAGCAAGCCTCTAAAGCCACCCAGTCCTTTTTTCCTGATGAGTGACCACTGCTATCTCCCGTACTAAAAATACTCTTAAAGAGACAGCACAGACAAGACATCTGTATGGGCTTATCACTGCCCCTACTACTCTTATCTTGCTTTTCACACCAGCCCCTCCCTCTGCTGCCATGTCACGGGAGAAATTTGAGGATAACCCAGTTCACGCCCCCAAATC